TCCAATCTCTGGTCATAGCTCGAGATAAACGTTCAACATAAGCAAAGATTTAGCCTTCAGAAGTGCATTCTGCAGCCGGCTCGATCCGAAAACCCGTGATAGGCACCCAAAAATTCTCATTTTTGTGTGGCTGTAGAAAGCACAACTGATAACCATATTACGCCCTGTTCCCAACCAGCTATCGTACATTTGCTTACAGTTGGAGAGCCTTTAATGGCCTGTAATAGTAACAGATAAATTACAAACTTATATTCCTCCTGGCGAATAAACTCGACAGCGATATCTTTCTCCGGCTGAATTTGCAACATTTTCAAGCACAGGCATAAGAAAGGTGTTGGTTTGACATTGCCAGCGTAGATGCCACCCACATAACGTAATTCCATGCCTCGATCCACCAACAGTTCGGCTGCAACATTACATTAGAAATGTATACGACTTAATGGACCGAAACATTTCTTACCAATTACAAATATTTCAATGCTCCCTTTCCCATTTTTTCCACTTCGTTTCCCTTCCCTTCTTTTTCCATTTCATCATCATCTACCTTAGCGCTAATTAGCTTTTACACGGCAATCGCCCGATAAATTCAGCTTCGGGGTCTTCCCTGTCCGGATTCAACAACCAAGTCAATCATGATAGGTAACAACAAGAGAGAAAAATAATATTTTTAAGAGAATTGTGAATGGAGGCTGAAGAAACGAATTTTATTTTATTATGCGTTTTGTGCTGTGTAACAGCAGTACAAAACTCATATTGTCACGGGGCTGCCTATGTGTGCGTGTGCGTGTGTGTGTGTGTGCGCGTGTGTCTGTGTCCGCAGCAACTTGTGCGCAACTTTCAACTCGGGAACCACGAAAGCTAGGAAGCTGAAAATTTAGGAGAATGTTCCCACGCACATGTGACCCCGCAGATTTAAATTCAGCGTTCCCGTGCTCTCGGGTATCACCTACGGGCCAGTGAAAGTTTTTACGGGTAAGTTATTATCTCGGGAACCACTATGTCTAGGGAGCCGAAATTTTAGGGGAATGACCCCCTGTCCACGCTCATTCTTGCCCATTCAAATTCAGCCGTTCTCGAGTATCAACTACGGCCTCGTGAAAATTTTGGCGGGTAAACTATTAACTCGGAAATCATGGAAAGATATTCACCTTTCAAAGGTTTCGAATTCAGCTTTCATGCGCTAGTGCTTGAAATTTTTGACTGTTTTCAGCGTTTGAACTATTTTTGTATAGACAAAAGTACAAAGCAGTGAAAATCATTAATAGGCAATCGCTCGATGGGCTGAATTGCACAAAATGCATGATCGCACCGGTTAGTGTGATGCGCGTTGCTATTTATTTTACTTAAAGTTCGTTTTAAACTGGAAAGTATCTAATTCTTGTGCACGTGGTGTTCCCGTTTCGGCTCCAAAGTATAAATAAAAATTCACACATTAGCAAGTCAAAAGTGAGTTTTATTTGAAACAAACTAATAAATCTGTTGATTGGCGGGGAATTAATGACGAAGCATTGTACCGGTCAAAGCGAAGCATTCCTCCTTCCAGTACTTCGAATCGTAGATACGCGTCCGAATAATTTTCTCCACCAAATATTGCGGGTTTGTGCCCTTCACCGTTACCGCATCTTTGACCGTTCGATTTGCCATACTGCAACCATACGCTTACGTCCGTTCACGTTACTACTTCTGCGTAACAATCCTGCAATATGATTATTATTAAGGACAGCACCTACATCTGAGCCAAGTTTGGGGGCGCTACTTACGAAAGGGAAAGCACTAGAGGGAGAAAAAGGACGGGGAATGGG